CTGTGAGTTACTTGGAGATAATGGAAAAGAGAGACAAATGGTAATAAAAAAGCTAAATGGAAACAACACTAAAAAAAACAGAGAACGTATATGTGTAAATCGCAGATAAATCGTAAACAAAAAGGGTTATCAGACTAGAGGGCGCTAATGACATACTTAGCCTCCTTCCAATGTGTTGGAGCACGCGGAGATTGGGCGCTGAGTTTCTTGTCGTCGATATCCCACTGCACACCGCTAGAACATGATGACTCACCTGCACTTCTAGCGAATGAAACGCGACTAGCACCACATGATGAACAATTGATGGAGTATGGAACCTATAAATATATCGGTATTAGAATCATTATGGAGCATTAATTGTAAGATAATAATTTTTGATGCGCCCGAAAAGGACATGTTGCTAGGATACAAATAAGTATTTGAGAAACTATTTAGATACGTGTAAAACCGCCAAATCCTAGTCATATGATGTGATGTAAAAATGGAAAAAGCCAATGAGGCAAAAAAAGAATTACCTCGATATTTTCGGAACTGACCTCTACTATATTTCCGGTATACGTTCCGGATTGGTCAGGAAGGGCATCAGCCGCTACATCCGTCTCCAAAGGTTGATGTTTTGAGAGCAAAAGTCGTAAGCAACGTTGCTGGTTGCGGTCCACCACATAAAACACAAACATAGACAACAATCAACAATAATGAATAAACAACAACATTTACAAATGTGACCACTGTAAGTAAGAGTGATAGGTGATTTCGAATGACATTGCTCAAAAAGTCCATCCGAAGCCAATCCCAGCTTCTTACTCACTTCTCATTGCCCCATTTTGGGACACTCATCGAAGTTTTGCGTTCAGATATGTTTTTGTGTGAAAGCCTCATTTGAATATTTCTTTACAGCGAAGTTGCATGCTGTAAAGCACGCTCAATACATTAAAAAATTAAAAAGTCAGTGTAGGGACGATATCTAAATCAAAAAGGTTACCTTAATGGCGCGATCCAGTTCGTCCTGATTCTTGATCGATACCACCACTTCACCTTTTCCTTGTTGATAGTACATATTGATGTGTTTACCATATCGCTTCTCTAAATGATCCTGTAGAGCTCTCATCGAGACAGGTCGATCCATTTCGACACATCGTTTTTCTCCACAATATTCCATTTTGATTTTGAGGATGTTACGATTGACTGGAGGCCGTCGTGATGCCATCAAATCTTTCAA